TAGGCTGAGACTTCCATATGTAAAGACAGCCAGATTGTTCTGATATATTTTCTTCTGCTCCAAGGAAACTAACAAACATGCTAAAGACAAACAGTACCTCTATTTTTTAAAAATTATTTTTAAAAACCATAGTCCCAAGACAAAGATATAGCTACCTTATACTGAACACTTTTTGTAATGGCATGTACCAAATTTTTCTTCCAACATTTTGGGTTCACTTGTTTCAAAAAATTCTCTGCAGCTATTATTCCAGGAGAGTAATTGCTTTTCAGAATTCTTGGGACTATTTACATTTGTAAAGAAAGGACACAATAAATATCCCTGAACTAGGAGTTAGAAAATCAAGATCCTTTAATGTCATGGAAGAGATAAACGAATGAATGAATGAATGAATGAATGAATGAATGAATGAATGAAAAAATATTATTAAACATTTGCAGTGAGCTACCATAGTATCCTAAGTGTTGGGGAATACAAATACAAAAGCGAAATAAAGTGCCTAACTCATCCTTCCTGACTGTATGACCTTGGGTGAGCCATCAAGCCTTTCTGAGCCTTAAACCTATAAATGTTTATTGGATTGGATTGAGCCTCAGTTTCTTCATCTTGAAAATGGAAGATGATAATGGCTACATTATCTACTTGATGGTATTGTTGTGAAGATCAAACCAGATGATATAAAGGAAGTATTTTGAAAATCTTAAAGGGTGATATGTAAATGTTTATCATAATTATAAGAATTTTGTCAGCAATTACCTCAGGAGTCAGTTTCATTTCAAAGACTATAAGGTATTCTGATGAAATCAAAGATCTGGACTTTCCCCATCTCTCTAACCTCCCCCCTCTAATACCCCAACTAATATAATACTAACTGTTCTTAGTTTGATTTTTGCCAAAAAAACCCCTAAAAATGAGCTATAAAATATCATAAACAAGATATTTTATAGAAACAGAGTGGCTACTCCAGAGGCAAAATATGGTAAGAGAAATTGGAGGTCAAATTATTGCACCCAACATTTTCAATCAATAAACATTTATTAAGCACCCACTATGTACCAGATAGAGCAGCTAGGTGCCACAGTGGATAGAGCACGAGGCTTGAAATCAAGAAGACTCATCTTCATGAGTTCAAATCAGCCTCAGATAGTTACTAACTGTGTGACCTTAGGCAAGCCACTTAATCCTATTTCCTTCAGTTGGTCCTCTGTAAAATAAGCAGGAGAAGGAAATGGCAAACCACTCCCTTTTCTTTGCCAGGGAAACCTTGAACAGGGTCATGAAGAATTGGGCATGACTGAAAAATGACTGACAACAACAATATGCCAGGCACTGTTCTAAGCACTGGGGATACAAAAAGAGGCAAAAGGCAGACAGTTTCTGACTTTAGGGAGCTCAAAATCTAATAGGGAAGACAACAGACAAAGAAATGCATACAAACAAAATATATAGGATAAATAGGAAACAACAGATGGAAGGCACTGGAATTAAGAGGGGTTGAGAAAGATGGGATTCTAGTTGAGACTTAAAGGAAGATAGTAGGGAGGGTTGTTTCAGGATGTACTGTGGATAAATCCATCTGCGCAAATGTCTATTTACCCTTGAACTTGTTGGAGGTCATTGCTGCCTTGTAGTGGTTGTCCCCCAAATTCTATGTTTTTCCTTTCCTTTTTTTTTTTAAAGGATGTTGTTTGGTAGATTCTTGTTGGACAAGATGGCCTTCAGGTTGTCTTCTAGGTCTTCAATTCTGGTTCTATAAATTACTGGCTGACCTTGAACAAGGACTTAGATGAGCTGATTTTCCAGAAAATTTTGTGTGTGAAAAGGGAAGGAGTAGAGATGGAGCAACAGTCAAAAAATAAATGTTAGGCTTATTCTGCTTCACATCGGAGGGCAGAAATGGAAGCACAAAGAAGAGACATTTTGGATTAATGTAAAGAAAAACTTTCAAATCATCCAAACTGTCCAAAGTGGAGATAGGTTGCTTTGGAATGCATTGGGTTTTATATCAATGAACACCTTCAAATGGAAGGTAGATGGGTGCTTTGGAGAAGTGTTACAGAGAGGCTTCCCTTTCAGGTATAGGTAGAATTTCATGATGTCTCAGATCATTTCTAACTCCGACATTCAAGGAGTCTAAGAAAGTCCTAGGCAAATATAGAAAACAGACTTCACTGTGGCAATGAAAGTGTACTGGAGAAAGCATGTTCTAAAACCAGTGCAAAAAATTATGTGAGTTCAAAGTAATTACAAAAGCATAAAAACAGGCAAACAGATAACCATAGTTTTAGAGCCAAAAAAAGGCCTTAGACATACGCAATTATCTTCACAACAACCCTGGGAGATAGGAACTCTTATTATCCCCATTTTACAGATGAGGAAATTCAGGCAGACAGTTTAAGTTCAATTCAATTCAATAAACATTTATTAAGTGCCTACTATGTGCCACAGTACTGTGCTAAGTGCTGAGGATACAAATAAGAAAAAAAAAATAAACAAGACAACCCCTGCCCTCAAGGAAATTACAATATAATGAGGAGGCCACCAGGGGCTACTCAGGGAGGGGTCATGATGCTCCATGCAGTTGAAACCAAGCAGAAGTGCTGATGAAAAATGGAGAGTCTTTTGGAAACTCCTGAGTCCTTTATAAAGGAAAGCTTTGGGAGATTATTGCTCTTCCCTTCAGCCCTCCAATCTGAGGGGAGAGGCAACTGTGGGAGTTGAGAAGGTACTGAGTGTCAAAAACTGAGCATCGAAAGCTGCGTGGTGATGAGGTTTCAAGTGGCTAGCTTATCCTGATGTCCCATGGAGTTGAAACCAGAGCGGCTGATGACAAATGGACAGAGCGACTTGCCTAGGTCACAAAACCAGTAAGTGTCTGAAGCTAGATTTAAATTTAAGTCTTTTTGACTCCAGGTCTAGAGCTTCATCCTCCTTGTCACCTGGTCAAGGTGAGATTCAAACCCAGGCCTTCTGACTCCATAGCCTGTTCCCAATTCCCTATGACGCACCAGTCTTTGCTCACTGTCTGCTCTTCTGCTCCATCCCTTTCATCTTCTGATGATTTGCCATTGGAAATGTTTATCTTTCCATGACAAATGTTTTTAAAAAGGACAGTTCAAATAACATTGCAATAAAAATGATTACCATTCAGTCTCTGATTAACAAAGAAATTTTTGATCCCTAGCCTGACATCCACTTATTTCAAATTGCAGTTGATCTAACAAGAAAAGAATTTGTCCTATCCCTTAGCATTTGTCCTAATTGATGGCGCTCTCCTTTCAGGAGAAGCTTGGCAGCTGAAAAGCCAAAACAGTGGACTCCAGAGAAAGATTTCTTCTGCAGCTAAAATGTCTGAGTATCAACTTGGATTCCTTCCTGCCTTTTCTAGTATCTGATAAGGCTCTGTCTTGGCTTCCTCTGCTATCTCCTCTGGTCTTCCTAGGGGACTGCTAGAAGTCAGTTCATCATTGTCTAACCCAAAGAGTCACATTTAGACTATTTAAGAAGTGAAGAGGTCAAGTCCACTAGTTTTCCTGCATTATTTTAGTTTATCAGGTTACCAGGATATGCAGAAAGCAAGAGAGAGAGAGAGAGAGAGAGAGAGAGAGAGAGAGAGAGAGAGAGAGAAAAGAAAGTGTGTGTGGGTGGTGATTGGAGGAGGTGGGGAAGACAAGAGAAGAAAAAAAAGGGAAGAAGGGACAATGTCGCCATTAGAAAGAAATCGGCACCAACAGAGAAAAATAGACATAGGCATTAGGGAAAGTGTTTTAAGGAACACATAATTCTTTGACTAAGCACATGTTTTAGAAGAGTTTTAGAATAATTCTTTTTCTAGTTGTTCTATTTGTTTTTTAAGAGTTCTTAACTTTTTTTTATGTGTGTCATGGATCCCTTTGGCAGTCTGGTGAGGCCTAGGGGCCTCTTCTCAGAACGATGGTTTTATGTGCAGAAAAGAAAAAAATATATAGGATTTCAAAGGAAACTAATTTTATAGATATATAGTCATCAAGATAATGCTTTAAAAAATAAAAAGACAGGTTTGTGAACTCCCAGGTTAAGAAACCCTGATTTAGAATCAAAAGAAAAGAATGTCATTAATGATATTCCTGGGCCAAGGATCTTCTTGGAAAAATAAAATTATGAAACATACTGTTTTTTTTCTCAGTTGAAAAATGGATAGAATAGTGGCTCACATTCTGAACTTAAGAGTCAGGCAGACCTGATTTTGACTTTTCTCTCAGACTTTTGCTGGCTGTGTGACCATGGGCAAATCTCTTAACTTTTCTCAATTGTAATAACTTCGTGAAATGGGGGATGATAATAATAACACTTATCTCAAAGGATTAATGTATCAAATAAGATAATGTATGTAAAATGCTTTACAGAATTTAATGTACCACATAAAATGAACTATTACAAGCATCATTGTTATCAATAATAAAACACTTTGAAATCACTGGATTAAACAAAAATAGGAATGCTATTTTAAATTTGGACAATGTGTTACGTTAATCTTAGGAGAGTTTTTATGGAAACATCTGAACCATGAGTTAGATGGTACCCCCAAGAAGAAACAATTAAGAATTCTAAAATGATCGGGTTAAATATTCTTTTAAAAAAGTGGTAGTTTTTTGAGCCTTTTCACAGCACCAATTACTTTGCACTTAGTAAACTAATTCCTTAATGCAGTAAATATTTGTTGAATGTTTGAGTGAACGAACGAATGAACCACAAAGTTCTCTTTTGTAACAACCAATGCCTGACAACAGAAAATGAAAATGATCTCGAAGGGGAAAGGAAACGTAATTCAAGGTTCCAGTAACTGACACTAGATGGAGTCAAGTTGAGTGAAAGATCAATAAGAAAGAAAGTTCATCAGAAAAAGCAAGAAGCAAGCAATGAAATTTTGTGGGTTGGCCAAACTCTTAATGCATTTTCAAAACTTAATGCATTACTCAATGAATGTTCAAATTCCAAATCTTATTTCTTATCCTTTGCAGATCCAACTTGAATTCTTCTGACAGGTGAGTCTTAAGGATATCAGTTAAGATAAAAGTGATTTATTTCAAGGAAGCAAGAGTCACCTCAAGGATAAATATTGATTTCAGCCACATCATACCTTCATGAACTACATTTAGAGTCTCCATGTAAACTACTAACAGTTTTGGCCAATTTGCTGGAAACTTTTTCAGTCCAAGATATTTCTAGAACAAGGAGTCAAAAGCTTCCTGGATTACTTTTAGGAAGTTTTTGATCCTCTCTACAGGAGATACTTTGTCAGCTAGGTAGTGCAATGGATAGAGTGCTCAGCCTAGAGTCAGGAAGACTCCTCTTCATGCAGTTCAAATCCAGCTTCAGACACTTAGTATCTGTGTGACCCTGGACAAGTCACTTAACCCTGTTTGCCTCAGTTTCCTCATCTGTAAAATGAGCTGGAGGAGGAAATGGCAGACCACTCCAGTATCTCTGTCACGAAAACCCCAAATGGAGTCACGAAGAGTCAGACATGACTGAAATGACTCAATGACAACAATAACAACAACAAAAACAGGAGATGCTTACAGTACTGCCACTAGGTCTACACTAACAGAGACAATTTTCTGGATAATACATCCCCAAATGCCAAATAAATTTGAAATGTATGGTTGGTCTGGGCAAAAGTAGACTTTGTGCAATAATACAGTTGCTGAATTCAACATTTAGCAGGTAGACTTAATTTGGAGCTGATTCCAGTAACTCAGCATCTCAAGCAGCCAATCAATTCAGTGACTGCAACTAGTCAATGAACTTTTATGTTATCGTGTGTATATGTATTATATGTATGTATGTGTGTATAGTGTGAATATACATACATACATACACATGTGTGTATATGTACACACACATGTGTGTATGTGTGTGTATATATATATAAATTATTTTTTTGATTACTTTCTCCTCTTTTCACCAACTGGGTACATAGTCCATATATACAGAGGCAAAATAGTACGGCAAGCTGAAGTAGTAATTGGATTAATTAATCTTCAAAAAAGCCTTATGTAGCATCCTCATAGGGATCCTCTAGTCATCATAATCACAATCAACAGGAAAAAATCAGACTTTTTTGTGGTTTAATCATTCAGTTGTGTCCAACTCTTCATGACTCCATGGACTGTAACACACCAGGATCTTCTATCCTTCACTATCTTCCGATGTCTGTCAAGCTCATCTTAACGGCAAATAATCAGAGGGCATTGATATATGCAGGAGAAAAGGGCCCCTCCATCATATAATTCTAAAATAGGCACCCCAAGCTTCACACCTTAAAGGGGAGTCCTAAAGAGGACATTACACTTATTTAGGAAAAAGAAAAGTCCTTCCCCTTTTTCACTTCAGAGCATGCACCGATACCCTCTGATCACTTCCTATCAATCCATGATGATTAAAAAAGCCCTAAGGGCATGATCAATATACACGTTTTTTTAAGCCTAAATTATTGGATTATTTATTTACACAGCTCCAATTCAATCAATCAACAATATTTATTAAGTGCCTACTAAATGACAGGCACTGTATCAGGCACTGAGGATACAAATACAAAAAGAATGAAATAATCCCTACTCTCAAGGCATATGCATTCTAGCAGGGGAGATGACAAATACATACGTAAGTATATACAGAAAAAGCATAAACAGATAAATACTGAGTAGCAGGATACAAGATAGGGAGGGAGGGAACTAGCAGAAGGAGGCATCAGAAAGTCTCCAATTCAGTATCTTAACCTTCTAATCAATCAATGAACATTTATTAAGCACCTACTAATATGCCAGGCACTATACTAAGAGCTGGGTTTACAAAAGGAGGCAAAAGACAGTCCCTGCTCTCAAGGAGCTCAAAAATTAATGTAATTGCAGATGGCCAGCACTGCTTTTACATACAAATAAGATTGTGAGCCCTTTAAAGGCAAGGATTGAGTTGTCCTTCTCCCTTTATCTGTTGTATCAGTCACAGGAGTCAACAGATGCATAATTAGAGTTTGATAAATCAAAAATCCCCTTCATAAGAAGGTGGCAGGCATGCCAAGGAGCTTCGGCTGGCCATTATCTTGCTTGCCGACTACCATTCCATGCCTCTTCCTTACTGTCTATGGCTGATTGATATTGGAAATCCCTGAGTAATAATGGACAATGAGGCTGATTCAGTATGTGTGCTGCTGTTGTGACACAGAGCCCCAAGCCTGCATCCTTGAACTGCCTGGAGTGCCCATTAAAATCAGTGGGAGTTTGGCCTGGACAGAACCTACCACCTTCAGACCTATCACCAAACGCTCCTAGAGGCTGTGCCCAGATCTCTTTAACTCGTGGCTGCTTCCCGGAGCCACTCCCCTTCCCTTGGGTTTTTAGCTGCCCCTCTTTATCCCTGTGAAAGCCTATGCATATACAAATGTGTCCCTCCCACTCCCCCAACACCCCACGCCTGCCAATCCCCCCAGCCAAAGAATCATGAAGCAAACATTCCTTAAATGTTTTTCTTCTTTTCCAGAGATGGTCAAGTGATTAAACTCTAACCAGCAGCTGTTTTCTGATGGTGTGTGATTGGCTTGGACAAGACATGCTACTACTGTTCCCATGGTGCCTGTGAATCAGTTCAGAAGTTTACCGTTCAAGGCTGTTAATTCACCAGGGATCTAAGACAACATGTTTACTGACAAAGACAAATGAGTAGAGGAAGAGATTTCTAAGTGCATTTGCTCTTTACCAAAAAAAAAAAATTATAATAAAGAGGAAGTACTTTCCTTCCTGGAGGAGGAGGAGGATGGCTCATTGTTAGTAGGGTGAGAGGTTGAGTTGTTCTGTTATTCATAGGGATGGATTTGCACTGACCTGTGCACAAAATATTCCACAGTTTCTTTTATAACCAACAGCTTGCATTTGCAAGATGGATCATGGGACTATGGTCTATTGCTATTACCAACTCACTCAAGTATCAAGTCTGCAAGCTTGGCCTCATCAGCACTATGGCATCCCCATCTGCCTCATCAACGACCTTCCTCGTTACTGCAGCCTTCAGGACACTGTACATATATCTCATAGAACCCCAGGATGATTGGCCTCGCACAGCAAGGGACTTCTGAGGCCATGTAGTCTAACCTCCTCAATTTACAGATGAGGAAACTGAGGCCCAGAGAAGTTAATGGACTTCCCTAAGTTCACACAGGTTGTATTAGTGATGGGGTTTGAATCCAGGTCCACTGAATCCAGAGTTATTACTCTTTTTATTGTACAGCATCTTTGGCTTCTCCCAATGATGTTGTACTTGTCACAAAATCCCAGAGATATAAGTAGAGTGAGATACACTGGGACTTTGCCTCAGGGAAATATATTTAGAGGCACTGCTGTACCCTGCAGTCCTTCAGCCTTATTGACACGACAGAGCTTAGCACTTAAGCTAGTAAGATTAATTATCTTAACTATCAGAAGTGAGAGAGAGAAGGGTGGAGTAAGCTTCTTCTCTGTCTAGTTCCTGTCCCCACTCCCTCATGCGTCTACTACAGCCTTGACTTCAGAGTTTCCATCACTCTTCTTTTTCCCATTCATCTGAAGCCTTGCTTCACAAAACTCATCCAAGGAATAGTTTGTGGAATGTGTCCTCACTTCAAATACTCCTAATTCCAGCCTTGATCCAGCCTCCTGGATACCTGTATAATATGTCTGCGTTTCAGGCACGTTCAGAGTTCTTAACTCTGAAGAACATGGAGCCTGAGACAGAATGGAAAGTAGTTGGCATTGAACTTAAAAGCTTTATTATTTTAAGGAAAAAAAAGAGAGAAATAGAGAAAGATGGCCAGGACCTTAGAAGAGGGGTAAACTTTTAGCCAAAAAGTATTGAGTAAATAAATGGAAGGGGAATGTAGTATGCCAGAATTAGAATTGAAGAGGACACAATAAATTAATTAGTCCAACCTGCTCATTGTACAGATGAGGAAAGTGGGCCCAAGAGAGGAGAAATGATTTGCCCATGGTGACACAGGAGAATCATAGAATTGTAGATAGAGATGGAATGGACTTTAGAGGCAATCTAGTCCAGCAGCAAGGCCAGGACTCAGACCCAGGTCTACAGACTCCAAATCCAATATCCTTTCCACCACCCTGTGACCTGGCAATGATAGGATAAGGATATCATGAGAATCTTTTTAATCTTATTTCAAAAATGACAGAAGACACCGTATCAGAATGCATGGGCTTGTTTCAGGTGTGGCATGTGGGGGTGGGAAGAGCTTGAAGAACCAGTCCAAATCAAAGGTTATTGACCATTTGCCCATGGTCTTCTCATCGCAAAATATCTCATGCCAGGCTTTCTTTTCTCTTCTCATTACATTAAACCCTGGTGTTTTCAGAACAACCTACAAATCTTTTGTAAAAGCAATGCTTGCTATACCAGCCTGAGAAATCGGGAGATGTTAGCACCGATGAAGCTGTCCTCCATGGGGCGTTCCTGCCTGTCTGAGTCTATGTTCTCCTCATGCAGGATGAAAGATGAGCTGTATTTGAAAGCAAAGTGTTGTATGATAATAATTCGTAGGGATTCCCAGGGTGTCTTTTATCTGACTTGATAACGACGTAGTTAGGCAGCAGCCTTTGTTAACGCATCACCTAAAGCGGTAATGTGATACTTATAAGTAATTTTCTCTGTGTAAGATAGAATAAACTATCTTGTAAGATATCTGTTAATTGATTTGCTTCCTATAGCAGCATTTTAATTAAGATCTCTGGTTTGTGAGCAAGAGACACACACTTATGAAGGAGGTCACATGTTTACTTATTCTTAGAAAATGGATTTAAAAAAAAATCTATACACATCAGAAACTGTCAAGTAGCTTAGTTTCAGCATAGGCCAAGAGAAAAATTCCCCAGGCTCCATTTATCCAAAGACTTTGTTCTCAGTGGGGAAGGGCAAAGGACTTTCCTCTCTTATGTAGTTTTTCCTTTTGGAGTTGAGATAGGAGAATGATGTTTCAAAAGATGACACAGTCAAGTGGAAGCTAAATCAGTGAATGTGGACTGTGTAAAAAAATTTTTTTGAACTGAATTTGTGATTTTATTGGTACAAAAACCTCCCAAACAGGAACTCTCTGCTGATCCAGATTTGGTATTTAATCTGCTGCCTTTTGTCTTAAAAATTACCTAGAGGTGGTACATTGACTGGAGTCACACAGCTAAAATATATCAGAGGCTTGGACATGAACCCAGGACTTTCTGGCTCCAGACCAGCGTTCTATCCACCGTGCTTCCTTTTCAGTACCCTCTGGTATGGCTTACAGGGTTTCCTCTATAACTACTTCCAAGCCTAGAACTTGAAGTCCTCTCCTGCTGAATGGCTTACTTTCCAGTTAAATGCAAAATGTCCCAAAAGTCTTAGTGCAGTTTTAAGTTTTAAAGACAATCCCAGCCATCTTTCTCTTGTCTCTCTTGCTCAACACAAAGAGGGGCTGCAGAAGTCTGGCAGAAGAGGTGGAAGATTCAGTTTTAAAGAAGCTTAAAATCACACAAAGATATTTAGTGTATAGGCCCAAGGAGTGCGGCTAATTCTATTAACCAATCACAAAATGTTTCTTATCAGTCGTCTTCACCAAAAGGCCAAGACCCTATAATATCCTTAAATTGATTAAGGAATTTATTCACACATTGCTTCAGGGTTGTTGGAAAACTTAACAACTCTGTTACACTGAAATGATCAGAATGATTATCTTTTTTTAGAAATTCTTCCTATTTATAATTAATTGGCTTTGTTCTGTAACTGCCTAAGTCACGCTTCCTTGTCTCTGAACTCAGTTCAGAAATGTAGCTGGTCTGTAATGAGTTAAGTCTGCAAGTTCAGTTCTCCTGCTAATCACTGTTTTCTTGGCTCAAGAAAATCTGTTATCCTTGGGGGATGCAGGTGGACACCAGGGACTCTGGTCCACTATCTTTAACCTTGCAGATGGACTCAAAAAACAAACATTTCTTACTGGGGGGTGAGAGGAGGCGGAGGTCATTGCTAGCCTTCATTCCCAATTTCCAACTAATAATATTGTTCCCCGTGTCTCATCTTTGTAACCAATCATGTTGATTGGTATTTAGCTCTTATGACCAATTGCAACATGTCCCCACCTAGGAAATTCTGTTCTTTGTTCTGTACTGCCCTAAACTATAAATAAAGCTGCTCCCCTCATTTGTACTCTTAGTTTTGCTTGGGAAGCTTGGATCCTACTTATTGGTAAATTCATACTTTAACTAATAAATTGATTATGCTCAGAACTTTGTACCTTGGTTTACTTTGTTTTGGCTGTAATCACACTTTATAATTATATTCTGAGTCATCTATGACTATATCTATCTGAGTTGTGGAGGAGCTCACCCTCTGTTATCATAATAAAGAGATAGCATATAGTTGTGGTTCGGAACTATCCTGGACTTAATCCTTGATTCTGGAACATACTGACTGTGTGACCCTGGGCAGCTCAGACAACCTTTACTGCTCTAGGCAACTTCCAGCCTGTAAGCTGTAGAGCAGATACCATCTGCATTGGTGGAGGATGTTTGCTTCATTTCTTTTACTAATTAAATCACAGTTCTGACCTAAAAATGATTATGATGGCTAATATTTGTATAGCATTTATTGTGTATCATGTTCTGTGCTAAGTGCTTTTATAATTATTAGCTCATGTGGTCCTCACAATAACCCTGAGAGGTAGGTGCTATTATTATCCCCATTTTACAGATAAGAAAACTGAGACAAAGCTTAAGTGACTTGCCCAGGGTCACACAGCTGGTGTGTATGAGGCTGGATTTGAATGCAGGTATTTCTGACTCCAGGTCCAGCATTCTATTCACTGTGCCAATGATGATGATAATGATAACTATTAAAATTTGTATAGCACTTTATAGGTGGTAAAGACTACCTCATGAAGTTTGGAGTGCAGAGTAAGGAAAACTCATCTTCCTGAGTTCAAATCTGGCTTTAGACACTTACTAGTTGTGTGACCTGGACAAATCACTTAACCCTGTTTGCCTCAGTTTCCTCATCCATGAAATGAGCTGGAGAAGGAAATGGCAACCCACGTCAGTTTCTGTGCCAAGAAAACCTCAAATGAGGTCACCAAGAGCTGGACACAACTGAAAACAGCTAAACAACAACAATTTCTATGACTTTGAGCACATCACTTCATCTCTTAAAAGTATGATTTCCTCATCTATAAAATCAATGAGTTAAATTAAGTGACCTATCAGTCCCTGCCAATTCTGAAGGTATAGAAACCTCAAAACAACCCTGTTAGGTATATATTATGGGGGGGTCATTATTCCCATTTTATAGATAGCACAACTCAGAATTTCCGATGTCAACACTGCCATCTGCATTTGAGATTTCACTTCCAAGGTCCCCAACCACTGGCTAGAGAATTGCATACTAATGAAAAATTTGCTCTGGTTATGATTACTCCTTGACAGTCTCCACCTCCGATGCAAAGCTATCTACTTTTTAAAGGACCTCTAGGGTAGGTCCCCTTTTCAAGAATGGATAACCCTCTTAAATTTAATGTCAAACCATTTTGACACCCACAGATATAATTAGTATCTGCTGATTGAGAAAATACATGATGATAAAATAGTGCTACGAATTGAATAATGAATTTTAAATGAATTTGTATTTTATTCATCACAATAGTACTTACGTCCATTTGAAAAAAATATGAGAAAATTTGTAATAAATTTATTATTTCTTTAGTCTATATGAGATATGTTTGCTTAGTAATTATACTGAGTCATTTAGTGGGATGGCTGGTGCTTTCAGAATCTGGATATGTAGCCTATCAGCAAAGCAGGTGAGGAGAAGTATAGCTTTTGCTATCTCGAAGGAGACATTGGGGCAGCTAGGTGGTGCAGTGGATAGAGCACTGGCCCTAAAGTCAGGAGGACCTGAGTTCAAATCTGACCTTTGACCAAACACTTGACACTTATTAGCTGTGTGACCCTGGGCAAGTCACTTAACCTCAATTGCCTAAAAAAAAAAAAAGGAGACATTGAAGTATTGTGGGAGGTACAAATAGAAAGAGGAAGCCAGAGAACTTTGGGGCCTTTAGGTGTAGATGTCAGGTCAGAGAGATTTGTAGGGAAGGTGCTGTTACGTCAAATGCACTGCAATCATGACTAATTGAAGGCTTGTCTGGCTCATTCTTCTACTTAAGAAAAATACCTGTATAGAATTTGCTGTTGCACTAGTACTTTGGTGAAATTATCCTCTTTCCCCTTCCTCTCTCTCCTCTGCTTCACTGCTGCAAGGTGAATGGTGTTGCTTACCCTCGGGAATTTCTGTTCTCTTTAAATCTTGTGTGTGCGTATTTTTACATTTCATTTATTTATTTCTGATTTATTTATTTGTTGTCCGTACCTTTACAATGAGTTTTGTCTCCAGATAAAGACAAGGTGATTTTTATTGCTTTCTGAGTAAGCGTTCGATATAAATGAATGTCCCACCCCAATACAGAGAAGGACAAAGGGGATTGGATCCTCACTAGCCCTAGACTTACCTGGAAGTTCATATTAACTGTCTCTGTATCTGTCTTGCACGACATTAAGAGGGTGTTTCGAAGTCTGGTGGAAGAGACGAACGATTCAGCCTCAGTTATCATTCCATGTTTGTAGACCTTAAAACCATTTGTTAACTGACTCTCCACCCCACCCCAATTCCTCCCAGAATCTTTGCCAAGAATACCCCAAATGGGGGGCGTGCAAAGTTGAACACAACTGAAAAATGACTGAACAAGAACAAAAGAGAGAGTTCATCGATGGCCAGAAGAAGATCTTCAATCCGGGTCTATGCTAGCTAAGAGAAGTGAATAAAAAAATGAGACAATGGTGTGAATACTCAAGGTCTTCAGTGCTTTGGGCCTGAAATGTCTCAGCGATGATGATGATGATGATGATGATGATAGCTGATATTTATATTGCACTTTAAAGTTTACAAAATGTTTTACACACATTATCTCCTCTGACCGTCATAGCAGTTCTACACCTTAGGTATGGCAGGCATTGTCACCCCCATCTAATTGATAAGCAAACTGAGACTGAGAGAGTTTAAGTGACTTAGTCACTTAGTCACACAGCACATAATTGAGGTAAAAGTGTTTTCATGGATTATTTAGATGACTGCTTAGTTCTCCCCCACCAGTTTGTTCATATAGACCTAGCCAAGTTGAATTATCATTGCTCATTTGTCATACCCTGATGATATCTTTCTAAAAATTTTCTCTTTACTGAAGGATGATTAATTTGCCTGAAGAATCAGAGATTATGACAAATGACAAGGAAGGAGATAATTTAGTCAGCAGGAAGACCCTGGAAACAAGGAACAGCTGCTATTGGGTCTGAAGGTCTTAGCATGACTTTCTGCCTTGTTCCGTGCATGGGGTATTTTGCAGAGGTCAGTTCTGATTCTAGCGTTTTCTTCAGGGCTTGTGCAATGGAACAAGGTCCCAGATGCTGGGAGGTCATTACCCACATCCTTCTCATCATAGCTGTAACTGTGATTCTGGTCCCTAGAGTCAAGTGGGAGAAGTGGAAGAAAGTCACCAACAGGAAATAATATAAGGCTGCTCCTAAGGAGGAATCTATTAGTAGAGGGAGTAGGTTGGGGTAGAGCTGGTAAGGAACTCACCCAGGGTGACCGTAAGGTCCCAAGAGCCCACCCTTAATGGGCATTCAGCAGTGGTCATCTCCCTGGGTCACATTTGTAGCAAAAACACCCCAGTTATGAAAATGGGCCGCAGGCTTGGGAGAAGGATTGACTACAACCGAGGGTAGTAGCTTATAATAATAACAGCTAACATTTATACAGTGCTTACTATGGACCAGGCACTATGCTAAGTGCTTTACAATGATTATTTCATTTGATCCTCACAACATCCCTGTGAAGTAAGTTCTGTTTTTATTCCCATTTTACAGATGAGGAAATTGAGGCAAATAGAAGTTAAGTGACTTGCCCAGGCTCACATAGCTAATAAGTGTCTGAGGCCAGATTTGAATTTAGGTCTGCCTGACTGCAGGACCAACATTCTATCTACTATGCCAACTAGCTACCCTTGGTGAGAGAGAGGGTGAAATTGTACTGTGGCTGCAGTAGGACTTAACTTTAGGGGTTATGGGACACCAGGGAGGCAGAACTACCAAAGTGGAAGTGAATACCTATATATTTTGGTACTCTGGGTCACAGCTTCTGTTGCCTCGCCTTAGTTATGGCTCTGCTTCCAATACTGAGTTTTGGATAGCATCTAAGACAGAACCCTGTTATGTAGTGCAGGTTTCATTATAGCAAACCTCCACTATACTAATATTTCTCAATTCCTTTTTCCCTTGTGGCCATTCAGCACCTTCTATTCCAATCAACCATAGATCCTCAAAATTAATCGTCCTCCCGGGGCTGAAAAGTTACCTCTGGGCAGGAGGCACCAGAATAAAGATCATGGATGTGGGATAGAACAAAGTGGATTTTTATTTTTCAACATTCTTCTAAATTGTTGTCAAGGGGTATGTGTGTGTGTGTGTGTGTGTGTGTGTGTGTGTGTGTGTGTGTGTGTGTGTAAATTATGAGATGTGAGAAGCCTAAGGAAAGAAGTTTTGAGATGTATTATCCAGAGCATTCCTCAGTGGGCCACTGGATTAATTGATCATTTCTTAAGAAAACCATTCTGTTTTCTTTCCACTGGGAAACTCATGTATTAAAGAACAATATAACTAGAGGCCAATTGTTGATTCCCACAGTCAGTGGTTTACCTTGTATTGTCATTTTCAAGAGGAAGGATTACAAACACGCCCGTTACCGTCCTTCAGCTTACTTTATTTCATCTTGCCAGAAAGAGTGAGTGTGGCCTAGTGGTCAATCATCTCAAAGCTTTGGTCATATTCCTGTCTCTCCTGTCTTTGTGACTTCACTTCCTTTACTTCTCATGAACACAGAGTCAGACAGATAGTAAGTGTCTGAGGCCAGATTTGAACTCAGGAAGATGAGTCTTTCTGACTCCAGGTTCAGCACTTTATCCACTGTACCACCTAGCTTCCCCTCTATAGTTATCAATGATACCTAGAGAGATTATTTTTTTTAAACTCTCCTCTGATAAAATTGAGATTTCAATCATACTACAGAAACAGCCATTAATTCACTTGGGCTGTCTACATTGATCAAAAAAAAAATCAGCAGATAATTGTCAAATCTCCACTTTATTTTGTACTGTATAGACACCGGTGCCCACAGGGAAACATCA